TGAGGGACCTTGAATCCTTGTTGCTTTGCTTGCTTGGTTGAAGCATGGTTGATTGGTTGATCTTGGCTTGAACTTGCTTGAAACTCGTTGTTCTCGATTCGTTGACGTTTGATCGACCTGGAGACCATTTTGAACCACAGGAGTTGAGATCTTAGTTGATGCTCGAACCTTAGTTGGTCAGAGAAAACGAATTGAAGAGAAGAAGAAGACAGGAAGACCAGGAGAAGGTACGAGGTGATCCAAGAAGGGGTGTGAAAAGTGTGGGTAGCACGCCTGTACAGTGTGTGGATCACCTAGTACCTCTTTGTAGTGGAACTTTTTCGTTTTCTGTCCTTGGGGTTGGAGCTGAGTAGGGATCTTCCTCCTTGGAGTGTGTTTGCTTTGACCACCTTAGCAGGACTAAGTGGAATGTGACCAGAAGTGGCTAGGAGCATGTCTAGAGAAGCCCTAAGTATAGAGCTGTAGTGCTTGAGATGAGCTGTGTATAGCCTAGCTTTGCTTGAGAGTGTTTGGAGATGCCTTCTTGTACTTTTAGTATGTTTTGGACGACTGTGACCAGTCAGACCTCTTCAGAGAAGAGTGGACGAACAGACATACAGTCAAACCGACTGTTATGTTTGGCTCAAGAGCGGGATTCGCAAAAGGGTCGCACACGCTTCCGTGTTTTCACATTTCCGGAGACAGCGATCGAACGTGCTTTGTCAACATTTTTTGACGGAAACGCCACAAAAAGTGCTTTTTTGGGGACGGACAATCCGGTTTTTTTTTCGCCACGCATTGGCGCATGTCAGCGACAGAAGCTTTGGATTTAGATTTCCGTTTCAGATCAATTTTTGCTGGAGGTTTTGGTTTCCAACTCAGACATGCCTTGAATTGGCAGCAGAGGTCGCTGGCTTGGCTGTGGGTTCCGTTTGTTTTTTGATTGCGCGTGATAGGGCGGTTGAGTTGTTTGGAAACATGCCCCAGAATGGTTTGAGCACTTTTCTGGTCGAGCTCTCAATCAAGTTTCTTGAGGGTCAAGTTCAACCCAAGGCGGAACTGGTTTTCCAATGGCCGAACAAGACCTGTTTTTTTGTTCTCTCCACGCAGGACAAGGGCTGAGCTGTTGGTGAGCTGAGTATGCTAGGTGTGCTTCGTGTGTGACCTCCCCCTCGGGGGGGAGGCACGGGAGGTGCAAGCCTCTTGACACTCCCTTTTGAACCCTGGTGGTTACCTCACACTGTCCTTCATTCTCGGCTTTGTGGAAATACCGGGTGTGAAGTCTGTGGTTTTCCCAATTTTGTTGCCTACCAGGTTCCGCCTTCATTGCTGCCAGCCGTCGAGCAAGTTACCTGACAAAATGTGTCCAATTTTGAACCTTATGGACCATACCAATGCACTCGTGTGCACCCTTGAAGGTGCATCATGTTTTCGTGAAGAGACCTCACCATGTCAATTTGCAAAGCTTGGCCTAACTATCCATTCCAAAGTGCCAATGGCGGCACAGTGATGCCCACTTACCTGGCCTCAACATGCTTCACAATGCACACGCCCCTGCATCTTCTTTGCAGTTCGTTGATGGACAAGAACTACTGAGTGCACTTTGGAATTCATCGCCCCTGTTTCACTTATCTTCATGCCTTCATGGCCTTACGAGTTACTTTACAGGTTGCCTCTGCGGTTTTGTGTTTGGTTTTGTTTGGGGGTGTTTTCGTGTTTGTTGCTTTTTTGGTGTTTTTCCTTGTTCTTGCTACCTGGCTGGTAACTCGTTCTTAAATCGACTAAGGTGACTTGTGCAAAACCTGCACACACAGCGCCTCCACTCGTGCAAAAAAAGAGGCCTTGTTGCCACCTCCTCTCCACGCTGAACAAGGCCCACTGTGCGCGTGACAGGCCTCCAAAGACAGGCCATTTTCATCCTCTCCACACTGAACGAGGCCGACGAGGCCGAACGGGACCCAAAAACCTTGCAATACTTTCAAAGAAGTCCAAATTCAAAGCGGTTTGGTTGCGTTTTGTGATCGTATGGCTTGAAGGTGGCCTGGTTGGATTTCACCCCGCAGCTGTTTCCAAGTCATCCGCACAGCGGCAAAATGTTGGCGAGGCACAGGGCGCACGGCGGCAGCAGCGGTGAATTTGGCGGCCCCCCCCCCCAAAAAAGGGTGAAAAGCATTGTGGAGCCCGGGGTTGCCACAGTGGGCCTCCTCTGTTGCCAAAAAGGGAAGCTTGACTGAAGACAACCGCTTGGAAACATGGAAACCCGGTCGAGCTCTGGAGACAGCTTTGGATGCTGCAGCATGCCGCAACAACCGTGTCAAAACTTTGTTCCAACGTCTGCGCAATTCTGTTGGAACAGATCACTGCAAGGATTTTCTTTCTCCTTCTGCTGCAACCATGAAGTCCCTTCTTGTGCCCTGCCGACTACTTTTTCTCTCGCCGTGCGCATGTGGCTTGACGCTCACAAAGATGAAGGGAGAATGACAGGGCAGGAAGTGCTGCATTCATGAATGTGTTGTGGAACGGATTATGATGAAGATCACGGCAACAACGATCGAGTTGGTCAAAAACACAAGAATGAGAATGTGAATGGTGGCAACATGAAAAGGCCACGCAGGCATGTGAATGGATTGATGTCCACACACTGGAAAAGCATGAGCAAGAGATGATCCAGATGAGGATGAGATGAGCCTCATGTGACAGTTTGCTTGTGAGCAGCGCAGAAGTGTGTTTAGGTGTGAGGGGAGGAGCAGTGGCAAACCATGATGGAACGCAGCTCAGGACGACCCCTCACACATGGAGACAGGCGCAAATTGAGATGTCGAGAACGCACCGAAACCGTGCAGGAAAAGGTCCACATTTTGCTTCGCAAATGTTCTTCACAGTCTCGAGCAAAGCGCAAAATTTCCGGCGTGTGTGCATCTTGAATCTGTCTGCGTGTTTTTTGTTTGATGAAAAAGGAACAAAAAATAAATAAATTGACAACATGCATCAATGAACAAAAAACAAATCAACAGATAGATACATGAACAAACAAAAACCAGCCGATGGGCAAGGCTTGAGGCAGGGGAGCGAACGAAGTGAGTTGAAGGGGGTGTGGGGGAGGTGGTCGCCAGTGGGCCAATTTCGCGAGGTGAGCCCAGATCCTGGTGGGGGAGAGCGAAAAAAAAGAGGTTGGCACTTGGTTGTCAAAAAGGAATGGTTTTAGGGGTGTCGTGACGCCAGTGATGTGATTGACGCCAGTAGTGCGTCATTGGCATCATGAGGGGCTCAGGAGGCAATGCAAACTGTTTTCTAAAGTTCATGTTTTTGATGGGAAAGAAGGGACAACGCGACGCACAAAGTGGTTCGAACTCGTCAGAAAGAGAGATGTGCGCCTCTCATGGCCAGTGAAGCAGTGTGAAGTGGAGGTGTGTGTCTCTCAAGACATTGTGTGATCTGTGAGGAACCGGAATGCTGTGGGGAAGTGGAAGACAGGCACAGCGTAGGAAGACGTGGTGGGAAAAGAGTGTCTGCAAGGAATGTTAGAGAGTTGCTTGGAGGTGCCCTTTTTTTGGGTGACGACGCCTGTCAACTTTCACATGGGTTGCGAGTTCATGTGATGCTGTGGTCCGTTGAGGCAGGAAAGAGAACAAATGTTCCACATGGGTAGGAGTTCATGTGGACGAGACAGGCATAGTGGAGCAGGACGTGATGGGAAAGAGGGATTGCAAGAAACGATGTGACCCATTCATCAAGAACAGGGAGGGAACAGAATGCAGCGGGCAAGCTTTGAGTTGCTTCGGGTTGCCATTTTTTCATGGCGAAGAGGCTTGTTGACCGGGCACCCATATGGAGTGAGTTCATGTGCACAATGGGCGTGGCGGGGGAAGAGTTGATCGGAAAAGAGTGTGGGGAGCTCACCAGGGCTCTCGCATTCACCCCCCATAACCACATATTGACATCTTTGGTGGCTGGCTTTCGTCTCCTCCCTTCTCAGGTGTGTGTATGTCGAGGCGAGATGCAACGACGCGCAGTCATGCTTTCCTACACTTGGAACAGCACCACAAGCCTGACTTATGCATTTATCCATCAGGCCATTATTTTAATATGTACATATTGAGCGCTTCGTGCAATAACATTTTCTGATTCGGATCTCCCTACTTCTTTGCGCACATGCCTGGTGATGGAACTGTGACTGTTATGCACAGCCACACGGGGTGAGAATATGTCACGGATGATAAACATGCGTAGGCAGAGTTCCCCGTGCCAAAATGCGGCGACTCGTTGTGTGATTGAAAACAAAACCTGTTTACATATGTGTTTGCTGACATTGTTGGACTGTTCACATCAACTACTTCTGGATATTTTTTACTGTTCAAACCGCATACTTGTCGAACGTGTGTGCATTCAGGTTCGTGGGAAGAATGGTTCGGCCACCAGTCACTTGACCGTCGGACGGCCCGAAAAAAACCCGACCGTTCCGCGGACCGAATTTCAGACCGTTTGAGTGGGGTTGCAGGTGGTTCGACGGGTTGAAGAAGTCGCTTGGTGGATGGAAGAACATACCAACAAGCATGGAAGTGGAAGGTGAGCACTGGAAAGATGATGTCCCGAATACCAAACAGCGGGTGAACTCTACTTCCATGTTTGTTGGTGGATGTGTGGTGCCATGGAGAGGAAAAACACAGAACGTCCCAACCCATATCAATTTTCTATGCAACCTGGTGCAAGTTTTTGGCACTTGTGTGAGCAATGAACCGGACCCCTGTTTGTTGCATTTGAAGTTGGACAACTCGAAGGCAAATGCCGAAAACAAAGTTGCGTGACCCAACGGTTTACACCCCGCTGTATTTTGGGAGTGTCCTTCGCATGCCCGAACTTCGAAATCGGTTTGCACCTCCCAAAACTGGCTCAAAGGTACGGTGAAGCAGTGGTGCAGTCATATCCCAAGGCCAAAAAACATAGATTTTTCACCGAAATCTGACAGATACAAAGCATGCAAACATCCAGCGCGGCACAGACAAGACCAAGCCCTCAGTCCGGTTTACACCACGGGCCAACCGTTTCTGAAGTAGCGCGGAGAGACCTTTGCTGTCCTGGCCATGGGTGCTGCGAACCAAAAGGAGTTGATCAGCTCGACTGCGGTGGTTCCAATGGACCCTAAGGAGGCAGAATCCAGTGAAGAACCCCAGGCACGGTGGGGGAGCCAGCTTTGACGGCTTCGAAACCGTGAGGTGCTTGGACAGACTTGGCATTCGGGCTGAAAAACCTCACTTGTTTGAAGTTGTTGAGGTCCCAGCCTTGGTCCCAGCCTTGATGCCAAAAACACAAGCAATTACATAGGTCCATGTGACAGGCCATGGGGAAGTGGCCACCCAAAAGTTTGTTTTGAAAGTTTCTCTGATTGGGAAACTGGTTTCTTCAACCGGATCCTGTTGGATTGGAAGGTAGATTTACTGTAGATCTCGCATCTTCCCTCTGTCCTTCTGTTTCTCTTCAGCTCTGCAACATCGGAACGCACAGCGAGCAAGAAAAAAATGTTCGCCCAGGCCTTTGCTCAGGACAAAGCGGCCCGAAACTCCGAGAAGAAGATGTCTAAAAGACCGAGTTCCTTATGGATCACCATGTCTTCGACACCCAATGAGCGAGCACTGGAGCGAGCACCCGCGCCTGCGGCTGTTCCCGCGGCTGATTCACCCCCTTCCGATCCGTCAAGTTCACCGCCTTCAGCGAGTGCAACACCCGGTGTAGGCGCCGGCGCAGCCGGCACGGCCGTGCCAAAGGTGGCACGTCTGGCACTGCCTAAGGCCAAGGCCAAGGCTTGCGTGTCGGCCGATGGAACTGGTGCTGGTGGTGCGGAGGCGCGCGCCAGCTTGTTCTCCTTGTGGCCCACGAAGCCACCCTCCGAGGGAGAACAGCGGGTGCGCAAATCGGTGGCGAACCTGGCCCATAACTGGCTCTCACGTATCAGGGGCAAGAGGCATGCTGCGGGGGTGATGCCTACGCCTGAGTTCTTGGAATGAAGAAGATCGTCACAAGTCCGCCGAGTTGCGGTTTCCCCGTTCGCAAACACTTCGTTTTCGTGACATTTTAAGCGTTGAGTTTGATCACAAACCCACCCCACTGTAATTTTGTGGGGCCAGGAAGCAGGTCTGAGGTCCTTGAATGCCGGTCCGGGTTTCTTCATCTTGTTTGGGCCGAAACCAAGTTCGTCCCATACAAAGGGCTTGTCAGCGTTTGAGGAAGAAGAACAAAAGAAGAACCGTTTGGTGCTGTTTTTGGGTCAACAGGAACATGTCTCTTTTACTTTTCGCCTCCAAACGCTGATGGTGGCCGTTTCACCAAAAAACATCCACATTTTCGGTCCATCCATGCATCCGGCTTCACTGCTAGAGTGAGCCCTGAGTTCGACGGAGCTGGACCTCATCAGCCCCTTTTTGGCCTTGAAAAGCTGGACCGTTTTTCGGCTCCCCGCGGACGTGTGGAGCGTGGCGCCCGTTCCGGGCCAGGATATGGGCTGGGACCGTCAAGCAAGAGCTGGGGCTCCTTGTTTCCGTTCTTTTTTGCTGTCAGGTTTTTGATTCGAAGCGCGAGTCCGTCCCGGAACGGCCAGGGTCGAGAAGCGAGTCGATGCGTCGACCGGAGGAGGAGGAGGGGCATTCGACCCATCTGATAATATGACACCTGCTAAAGGTGTGAAATGCAAAAGTGAATCCGGATGCGGGATCTAATTGACCTTCTGCAACAACCTGCTAGGGTGCATGAGGTTGAGCATGACAGACCATCTTCCTGACATCAAGAGGTCACGTTGTTGATGGGGAGCCTGGTTTTGGAGTTGGTGGGATTCCGCAAGAGGCTGCTGGGATGGTGCTCTGGTCGAAGATTGGAGCAAAAGGGAACTCAGCGTGTCGCATACATGTCACGTGGGTGTTGGCTCAAGCTGCTGTGGCCCATCAAACAACAACCAGCAGGATTGGATGACAGTGGCGGGACTGCACCGACGTAGCTCCACTGACTCCAACGAAACCAGCACGACACTGGGTGGGTTTAAGCGCTAGGAAGCCAAGAATGAGACAGAAGCAATGCGGCCACGGCCAGAGCGTGGATACTGCGGAACCATTGGGGTCTTCCGACATTCCCCCCGTTGTGCAGGCTGAGTTTTCTCAATCAACCACTCTGAAAGTTGGTGAAAAGTGTGTTGGCTACCTCAAGGGGGCCACCCTTGTACTTTTGAGGTGAAGATCATCCTCAGTTTGACATGGACCAAGAGACCTCCAGTATCGATCAATCACGAAGAAACGACCACCGGCAGCTGCGCATTGGTTCGACGGGTTGGATGGATGGGTTGACTTGGTGGTTCAACTGGAGATGTTTTTCAACGCAAGTTTCAACACGGTTGGAGCTGTGACTATGAGCTGTGACCGAACACTTTCGATGGTTCTAACACTGCGGGCCAACCCACCGCCCCCTTTTCCCTGGTTAGACAGTCCGCTCGGGAAGACCGATGGGGCACGTCTGGGCGTCGTGGGCATTGCTGCTGGGTGTTGGAGCTGCTGACTGGATCGCTTGGAAGGGGAATGAGAGCCAAGGCGGGTGAAGTGGGATCGAATTGAGCAGCGTCGCGACGTGCGGATCGACTCCGAAGTGACCCTGCTGAGGGTGCTTGGGAGGCTTAAGTGGTCTCTGGGATCTCAAAGGGTCACTTTGAAGAAGCTGGTATTTGAATGTACCTTATCTTGTCCTTCTGTGAATGTCAATATTATGGGTATGGTATGGCCACAAACTCGTGGATGTATCATATACGCAGTGTATATTCTGTACATGCCTGTGAAGTGGATATTTAGATTTAGCCCAGTGTTTCAGTGCAATTCCCTCAGACTCTTCTAGAGAAGCAAAGCGGTTCCAGACCCGTTCCGCAAACGGGAGGAGCCACATCCATTCCTCAAGCCGAAGAGGATCGAACTAATCCCAGTGTTGGAGTGCATCATGTATACCCTGGAAGTCCAGGACTATGTAAAACATGGTCTTTTAGGTTACAGGAGTCGAGTCCAGGAGTGTTTCCTTTACTTTGGTGGTACCGAGCATCGTTCCTGGACTTGCACCGGTCATCGTTCCTGGCCCTTCTACAGCTGTGATTTCTGGGGATTTACCTCTTCGATCTAATTTAGGACTTGGAACTGGACGTGGGCCTCTGCTGCCGCACTTTCCATCCACCCAAACGCTCCTGGACCCTCATCTGCAGGGGTCGGACCCTCATCTGCAGGGGTCGGACCCTCATATGGAGGGGTCTGGACCCTCAAAACCCTATGGTTTTGAGGGACCAAGGGCAGTTTGGAGCGTCTGGGCATATCCCAGAAGGATTCTTTTCCTTCTTGGTGTGTCGGGTTGCCACAAGTTGTTCTTGTAGGGGTCTCTGGTCACAGATTGGGCTCCGACTGAGCAGATGAACGGCCTCAACATGGCTGATGCTGGCTGGTGAGTTGTCAGCTGTGCTGCTGCTGCACCAATTTCGGACCCCTTTGACCCAGAAAAGCAGACGTTGTACCCTATCCACTGTGCTTCTTCTAGCTGCGGGTAAGTAACTATACTCTGTTCTCACATTTTCACGTGCTGAGAGCCTATACGGGGGCATGCGTGACTGAACGATCCCAGCGTTCCAGGGCTTAGCTTGGGGTGTGACTCTTTTCCATGTGGCCATCCCAACACCCTGCCCCCCCACCCAGAACTGCCCTATCCATCTCACCCCTCCCCTCCGGTCTCCATCTTTCATCCGCATAGGGAGCTCAACATCCGGGTAACTGGAGTGAACTCGTTTCGGACCACCTTGCGGACCCTGCCAGGGACGAGAGTCCGGGGGTCTCCCTACCTCCGACCTCCCTCCCGACCTCCCTCCCGATCCACACGACCACGCATGAGGCGCGCCCTCCACGGGCGCCTGGCGCCGCGTGCCGCGCTCCGAGCGCTTCGAGGCGTTCGCCTGGGAGGGCCCCAACCCCAAACAGGCACGGTGCGGTGCATGGGTGGTGCGGGGCGCAGTTTGGGTGTGTGGTTCATGTCAGGCTCTGGATTCTTGGTGAGCAATCTATGGCGGGACCCTCCCACATCTCGCCAATTGCGACCATTCGTTCGTTATTGAATTGACTAGACCTTACACCAAAGCTGCTCAGCCAAGAACATATGGCCGGGCGTGAGGACTGATTGAGTTGGTGCAGGATTTCTTCCATCAGAAGACCTGCAGAGCTTTGACCCTTGACATGGATTGGGATGGCTCCTGTCCTTCTATCTACTACAAGGGTTGGCCACAGGGGTTACTCAGTACAACCCATAAAGCTTGACCAAGGAAGTATCCACTGAAACTCCTTCATTGGGGGCCAATGGGCTGAGATGACTGGATCGGTGATGCCTTTTGATCCAAACCAGCGACTGTCGCGACCGTGTCGCTGGGATGATTCATCCCAATGACCCATATAACTTAACCATACCCCAGGCTTCCAATCACCATTGATTTAAGGGTTGCGAAAGAACCATTGTTTTACTAAGGATTTTACACTACGAAAACGGCTCAACCATGTTTAAAAACTAGTCTTGGAAGGCGAATGGGGCATCCTGAACCCAGTGGGTTGAAACACATCAGGAAGCACGACACGCTCACCATGACACGCTGGGGCTGGCTGGTTCGCGCTTGGGAGGCCGTGAACGGCTATCGCTACTTCTTCAAAGGCACGGGTGGCCAGACCCCTTTGGCCAGCAAGGCTGAGAGGACTTTCCCCCCAACAAAATATACCTACCTCTTCACCCTTTTTTGCGACGTTGTCACTGCAGTGCACAGAGCAAGCCTCAGCTTTGTTTCTAAGCGGGATAGCAAAGGCATGCATCTTTGACACAGCCCCCATCTTCTTCACCGTTTTGCACGTGGCACTGTGGCGTGTGGAAACACCACGTGGCACGTGGCGGAAACGCGCTGCAGATGCCACGAAGTACACCCTGGGCAATGCGACGAATGCCACCGAGTTGGTGGTTTGGCAGCCCTTTCCCGAGGACGACCCGGACAGTGCCGGAGCGGTTTTCATGGGACGACGAGTGCTGGTCGATGGGATGGGTCCGTCCGAAACGAAGGACGGGTTCGAGTGCTGGTGGGGTGAATTGCTGCCACCGTCACTCAAGCAGCCCCCCGCGGAGTGAAGCGTGATGAAAGCTAGTTGTGCTTGAAACCAAATGAGCAGATGGTCAACCGTAGGGCGCGGGCGTTTCGGGCTGACTCCTTGGTGTGGGGCGAGGGGTGAACGCTAGACGTTCTGCGCGTCAGACGTTCGGTATTCAGAAGTGACGCGCGTCTACACCGCTCATTCTACTAAGGAGCCCACCAGCTGTTTTCAATGGTTCTTCAGTCTTTTTTTCCTCATCATTCTACTAAGGATGGTAGACTTACAAGCCAGGTCAACCCCTTCATGGGGAAGGCTAGGGATTCATTTACGCCTGCAGTGAAGGGCTAGATCTACCCAGGAGGACAAGCTGACCTCCAGTCCTTGATAGATGGCTTTTAAGCAGGAGGGTCAAAGAGCTACCCACCAACTTTCTTGTGTGATAGAAACGTAGAACATCGGCAGAGGGAGTGAAACACAGGGCCGGGGCACGTTTTGATCCATATATGTTTCCAAAGGAAGGCTTCAAACAGGGACCCCAAGGCTCCGATTCCCGATGGAATGTAGTTCACGTGGAACTCCACCAGTAGTTCGACCATTTCTTGGAGGTGCTTCTGAGCTGAGGTGCGGTTGGCGCGAACATCCGCGCGGCGTTGTTTAATTTATACCACGAGCAGCTGGACAAGTTCAAGGCAGGGGCGAAGCCAGATCTGGCTTTCAGGAACATGTGTTGGATCACAGGGTTTTCAGGTCACCTGCCGGAGGGGCCAAATGATGTCCACCACTTAGCTAATCTCTAAAAAAGGGGGGGTTCGTGAAAAGAAAAGAGAGCAATGAGAGCAACGCACGTCGACGTGTGATTAGCAGTTAGCTAATCCCTTGGTGGCCAACATAGATCGAGGCCGATCGAGGCCGTTCGGTCGGGGCCATTCCCTTTCCAGAAGACAAACGCGTCCAGAGAGTCGGAAAAAAGGCCCTTCTTCTGTTTTGGCAAAAAGAGATGATTCAACATGATCTGTCCACATTAGATGTATACCAAATAGACCCATTTGATCTGCCAAAACATAGGTCAAAATCAAACCACTGCGCCCTGTCCGACCGTTCGATCCATTTTCCATCACCGTTCGATCTGAATGAAACCGGTAGCTTGGCCTCGTGTGTTTGTGAAAACAAAAGACATCCGGCACAGCGGCGTGGCCGGGCATCTCTGTACTCATTGGGTGCCTGTTTTTTCAATGGAAGAACTGATTAAACAAGTTCGGAGATCACGGGTCTTTGGGTGTGACAATACCAAGGTCCGCGATGGTGACCAGACCTCTTTCTTCACTTTGACTCGATTCAGGGCCTCGACTGGCGCTCGAGTCCATGTTACTTCGGTTTGTTTTCCATGTTCCAAATTAAAGCAAGAAGATCCCCTAAACGGCCACACTTGCCCGCGGGATCAACGGCCACGGCCAAGAAGCTGAATAGGAGCTCCACGCCTCTCGGACCGCGGTGTGTCCCCGCCCCAAAAAAGGCACTCTACGGTCTTAACGAATTGCACCTCCAGGACGGCCACCAAAATAGGACATTTTCGGTGTTCCGCAACCGTTTGGTGACCCAAACCCTTCTCCGAGAGGTTTTGACCATTCGAAGTTCTCGTCGAAGAGCTCCGTGGAACCAAAAAGCCAACAGCTCGTCGAACGACGAAGCGAACATCGCGAAGAAAGAGGAAGAAAGAAGAAGAAAGAGGAGTTCTGCAGATCCTTTTTTTGTTGGGTGCCAGTGAGGTTCCATGTCGCAGATCAATGGACAAGAGGATAAAAGTCAAGCAACATGCAACATCATGAAGAAACTGAACGCTTAAATGAAGCGAGACGCCAAAATGCCATCGCAAAAGAACGTCGGACAGCTGCAGGATGGGACTCCACGCTCTTGCGCATCAATCATGAGTCCTACCTCCCGACCTTACACCCAGCAGTCTGTGTCCCGCCCTCTTTGCAGGTCGGCCTGGTCCGCCAAAACTGGATAACAACCAGACTGGACAACGACCAGGTTGTCATATATGACATCGAATCCACAGTGTTGGTTCCACATCATGCACAACTTTGGGTTCTTGTTTCCCGGCCGTTGTGCTGCTTTCAACTCATCATATGATAGCCACCTTGAATGTCCAGACCATTTACCACACCTGGTGCCAGCCTGTTGACTACAGCGGCCTGGCTGGCCTTCTCTCATCTTCTCCAAGCTTCGCCGGCCCATTCCTCTGACGCCGTCGGCTCCAGCCACCCGCTCCGCTCCCCAGATGTGCTGTGCTGTTCCGTCGCGAGCGCAGCGGGGCTCGGCAGGTGACGCTTCACAACGTGGGCTGGGACGGCGTGGCCAAGAATTCCATCTGCACGTCCAACGCGCCGTGCCCGAACGTGATCCTGCCGCTGGATGAGATTTAGAGCGAGGATAGAGTTCGAACGCACACGGACTCTTGAGCGCGAAGAGTTCGAAGGTTTCTCTATGGTGTTCTGGCTCTGTTGAACAGATAGCCATTTAGTGTTCTTGGCGCTAAAAAGCCATCATTGTCTGTGTCTGTGTTTCTAGATTGTTATGTTGTTTTTCTTGAACAGAGTTGGGATCGGCGACGTTTGAGGTTCGAGGTTTGGACACCCGAACGAGGTTCGTCCCCAGGTTTAACCCCACAGTTTCAATGCTTGGAGATCTTGCATCTGCCTTGCACATCCTTGGGATGAGAATCTTCGAACGCCCCCTCATTGCTTCAAAGATCCATCACCAGAAACTTCCATGGTCAAATAAGACTTTGAACCAACAGATATGACAGACTGGGATGGTGGAACACCTGCCCAGTAAACCACCTGCGCCGGCATTGATGAATGGGTGCAGCATGGGAAATCCCATGTGCTTTGATCCATTTCCAAATGCCAGCTGGTAGAGCTGTTTCGTTGATCCGTGTCTATTTGGCCCGTTTGGCCCACAAGTCTAGACTGCATGGTGGTCGTTTTCTGAAACTCCGGCTGAAAAATAACTGAAGTTTGGTTTCCTCTCGTCATCCACCCACCCAACCACCCAACCATCCTCCATCTCATCCTCCGCTTCGTCCGAACCTGCAGGTTGGGCTCCAGTCAGCTCTCTGAGCGCGTGCCTCGGCCCGTTCAGTTCAGCAAAAAACGTCCGGAGTTTTCGACGTCTTGTGTTGCATTCAGAAGGAAGTACATCGCCTTTTTTTTGGTATACAACAAGTTTTGGAGTCTTCAAGAAGCCACTTTGCGAGTCTTCCAATTCAACGAACAGTTGCGGGCCTTCACAGTTCCTTCTCCCAGTTGGGCGACGCCGGGACTCGGACAGGGAGATGGTCCCACCTTTCAGGTGTTCCAAAGGCATCCAAAGGCGTCGCGCCGGACGCACGAAGTTCGGACGAAGGAGTTAAACCCCGGTCGAGGTGCCAATGAGCAACTCCAGTTTTTCTGTTGATGTTTCAGCTTAAGCTGAAGCATGAACAAGCTGAGATCTTAGATTCTCCTTTGGTTGCTTTGGCTTCTAAAGATCAGGACCTCTTCTTTTTGCGAAGAAAACGATCCATCCCTGACTGAGCCCCAATTCCGGGAACGAGAAACACCCTGTGGAAAAGACCACTCCTCAGGGCGGGTTTGTTTCTTTCGGAGCAAAACAGACACGTTCTCAAACCGTGGGGTAGTTGTCCGAGAACTCCTTCAGCACTTGCCCAGACCTGGTCCCCGACCTCGCACGACTCCGCGCCGCACTCGGAAGTCCTCGCTCTCACTCCGAGACCAACCGCGGCTCCGCGCTCGGGGGAAGTGGTGGTTCTTTCAGGTGGTCGCCGACCGCGTGAAGCCCTTGAACCATTTCATGGAAGAGTACCTGAGGGCCAACCTCGCGCGGATGCAAGACGACCCCCGGCGCGGCCGAAGGGCGAAGCGGGGTCCGGGTTGGGAGCGATGGGAAGGTCGGGAAGAGGAGCTTCCGGAGGTCTGAGGTGTGGGGTTTCGGCGGAGCAAAGCGATCTTCCGCAGAGGCGGCATGTTTTGCCTGAGTCAGTCGAACTCGTGATCTGGAGATGTTGAGTTTGTGATGCTTCCCCCCGAAGCTCCGGGAGGTTTGGGGTCAAGAACGCCACCTGTTTTCGCGTTCGTTTGCTTCCTGTAACTCTCCCTCAAAAACGTGCGAAGGCCCAGAGAAAGGATCCCATGAATGGATGGCTCGTCCTGGTCCTGCTGGACGGTTTGTGCTCAGGACTTTCCGGGAGTGTCCTACTACCAGTACTTCTATGAAGCGAAATGGATGGGCATCCCTTTCCTGCCCGCAGCCTCGGAGCCATACAGTTCGGAGCCATATTGACCGGTCCTAAGGGCTGATTAGTAGGTGGCTCGATACAGTCCGGGAATGACTTCTGGACTTCAGTCGGTGGACCCGGCCTTTCATCTGGGACTTCCAGTCGGACAGGACGTCACTTGGGGTCGGTGCGCGCCCGATCGTCACTTCGTTCGGCTCCCCTGCACGGCTCAGTCGGTGGACCTTTCCTCTCGGGGCTCCAAAAAGCCGCTCCGAAGCGGACGTGGAACGAGATCTGGGTTCGGGGTTCGGTTTTGGGCGAAACAGGGTAGACGCGACCCTGGGCCCTCATATGGAGGGGTCGGACCCTCATATGAAAGGGTCTGGGGTCTCAAATCCCTACGTTTTGAGGGACCAAGGGCTGTGAACGGAGCGTCTGGGTGCAGTCACTCCTGTTGCCAAAGCTGGGACCAGGACCAAGTGGGAGCCTTGGTCCGGGTCGTAGCCATCGTAGCCGCCGGAGGTCCGACGTGAGGCTGATTGCCTTCAACAAGACCACCCTGCCACCTGGTGGTGTTTCGGTGGGCCTGTGAACGGTCGAACCCAATTCAGCAGCAACATTCATGGGAAAAACTGGGCGATGGATTTGCCCAGACGCGACCCTGGGCCCTCATATGGAGGGGTCGGACCCTCATATGGAAGGGTCTGGAGTCTCAAATCCCTACGTTTTCAGGGACCAAGGGCTGTGAACGGAGCGTCTGGGTGGGACTTTTTTGGGGGTGCTGCTGAAAAGTCGTCCCAACTCGGCATTCTTCAAAAAGAAGACAATCAAACCGTATCAAACCCTTTTTTTTTCGTCGCCAATTTTTGAACTTTCCACCAATGGGAAACTCTTAGTATGAGAATATGTCTTTAAGATTCTTTAAGTGACTCACAACAGTCGCGTTTTCAAAGTTGTCAGAAGATTCGCTGAACTTTCGATAGCTATTGGTTGTGAGTCACTCATTCTCATGGCAAATCCTATCAAATCCCCCTTCTTTGGTCCTTTCCGCAGCAGTTGTGGGTTTCTCTAAGACAAGGGAACCCGAGCGGTCTGATGATTCAAATTGGCATCTTCCAAGAAGAATCTAATGACCTGATGATCAAACATGCATGTTCTGGATTTTCCCGAACATCTCCTGGCTTGCACCCCTTTGTTGCACCGTCTTCGATCTCCCGCTGCAAGCCATTTGGGCCAACCAAAAAAGGCGCCAACGGTCTCAGTCTCGGCCAACCAGAAGGGCGGGGACCGATGTACGATGTCGCTCGGTCGGTCGGCGTTGCTCAGGTTCAATCTGAACATCTCATTTCCACCTCCCTACAACACGCGGCGCCAGGTCGGGACGTCGACCCGGTCTATGACCGGACCGGTCGGTTTTTTGGTGCGTTCGACCGACGTCGGTGGAACAGCAACTGAGAAACCGACGTCTCAAGCTTTCTTCTTTCTGTTTTTGAATGGTTGAGGCATGTTGAGGCATTCAGGCTGCGACAGACTTGGATTCCAAGTAGTGCGACAGACTTGGACCCTAGGCCAGTCTAGGCTTGGCCTTTCTTGATCCGTCCGACCCAGAAACGGTGCCGTTCCGTTCGCCGCCGCTGGGCAAGGGGTTGGCCGAGGTGAATTCGGAGACGGGCCGTTTTACTGATTTCCATGACCTCCGTTTTACTGCTCTTCGTCTTCGTTTTGGGTGGCACGAAGTCTGAACTGGGCCGCTGTCCTAATCGGTTTCCGCTTTTTTTTTCGCGGGAGGCCCGGTGAATCGATTTCGGTGGATCCTTTGAGCCCACGCGGCCCTCCAAACCTTGGTGGCTCTCTCTCTCTCTCTGTTGGTCCGCCTCTGCCTTGGGAAAGCCCCGTTTCACCGCCCCAAAAAGCATCAAAAAGCTCACGTCTCCCAACGACCACCGTGGCGCACCGAGTGCCGGCCTTACGGGGCGGTCCGGCCAGGAGTGGACGTGGCAAGACTTGTTGGACGATGCCTGCGAGGCCACCGAGCGCCTGAACGGCACCGCAGGCCCACCGTCGCGCCTGGTCGCGCCGGCACCAGAACGCCGGTCCCGGTGGGGGGGGGGGACACCGCCGAAACAGATCATGAGGTCTTTTCTTCAGTAGTTTTGACATGTTTTGAAGCAAGGCCACCACTCATGAATCCATGGAATCCATAACGCCGAACCATCGTAGGCTACATCTGCTGAGTACGCGTGCGGATCTGTGGGTCGATCAGTTCCAGACAGTTGGCAGGCCGATCCGCGAACCATTTACAGACAGCATCAACCGATCCGCTGGAGAAATGGAGTTGAGCTTCGGTGGCTCCCTGCCTGCAGCCCCCCAATGTGTTGATGTCATGTTTGCCCAAGCGATTCTTGAACCAGTCTTGCCAAGCATCCTACTGTACCTTGAGGCAAAATGGTTGAGGCGCGTGCATTTGCGTTCGTCTAGTTACTATGGTGACTTGAGGAGCTTCTCTTTTTGGCGCTTCCGCTTCCTCTCTGTCCTCGCTCGTGCGTGGGGCCGGCCCGGAACATTCCCCCCCTTCCATCGCCGCCGAGAGGCTTGTTGGCCAACTCCGACTTCGACGAAGACTTCAAGTTCTTCACGCCCCTCGACTTCGACGCCGCGCTTCACGACCGGGCGAGCGCGGTTCGTCCGGGGCGAACGCGGTTCCGGCTGTTGTGTGGCGTGCGAGGTCTTTTGTGGAGGTGTCGGTCCCACACTTGGTCGTCGTCTTCGTCACCTTAGGGTACTCTGCTTAACGCGCATAGGATAGGTACGCCGCGTACGCCCCGGAACGGAACTCTTGTGTCCCCCCCAATTGGGTGATGTAAACGTTTGACAGTCACCTGGCATTTGAACGATCCAGAGTTTGACAAGACGGTCACCCAAAATTTGGAACCAACTTCTCACGCGGATCCACCTCGAAAATAGGCAGTGAGGTGTGGAGGTGTCAGGCAGTCAGTGAGTCGCGAGGGGTGTCGTCCGCTCGGCATGAGGAGTTGAAGGGTGGGCAGAAAGTCCGACACCGCTGACGTCTTCGGTTGATCTGAGACCCGCCTGATACGCAGTCGACAGACCGGCTTCGTCCAGGAAACCACCGCGTCACCGAAGCGTTGGAACATGTTGGAACATGTTGGAACTTCCCTTCTCCTCGGATCACCGGCCATCGCCGCCTGAGCATGTTTGGCCCACAAAAAAGTGGAGAATGAACCTTTGACTTTGGGATTGGTTTCCCCCACTAGATATGAACCAACCTTCTTAGTTTCCAGGGAACCGGCTCGGGGACTCAGCTCAGATCCCCTCAGATCAAGCGGGCCCCCCCCGATCCGCCCCCGATCCGCCGAGATCCCCGCGCTGTGTTTAGGCTCATGGTCCAGTCGGGCGGCGGTTCGCTGTATCAGCAAGAAGGTGAAGGCGGGCCGGTGCTCGCCTCGTGATGCTCGACTCGTGATGCGAAGAAATGTCGAACATCAACGAAAACGCGGGGGTGTTGGTCACGTCTTACCTCAGAAGGTGGCGTTTGTGGATGGCACGGCGTTTTTTTTTGTTATTTTTTGCACGTCCACCTTGGAAGTTGATTTCGAGCAAATTCTTCCAGTCTTGTTGGATGGAACAGACACATGCCGCGCATCGGGCCACTGATGATGATCGATCGAGTGCCGGGAACGTCCAGACTTTTGTCCCTCAATAGTCAAGGGTGTGTGGTAAGCTACCGCGACCTGCTCGAGTCACGCGTGTGGGAAGCTCCATTCGTGACTCGCACAGGAACTCGGGGACATGTTCCCGGCTTACTCGGGCCCGATTTGGCTCGTCATGTCAATCTCCGTTCTTCTCGCAAGATCCATCGCCTTGGTTGGAAGCCAAAAGGAGGATGCCCCTTTTCTTCATGGTTTCTCTCATAGGTTCCATCACAGAGCCGTGCTGCCTTTCTGCACACCCTTTCGGCACCATCCACGGTGTTCGGCCGGGACGGGGGGCTTGGCTGGGTGTTTGGGACGGAGCCACGGAGGAGGAACGGGTCGAGTCAGCGCCTTGGCCATGAGACCACCATCCCCCCGGGGACTTGGATGGTTGGATAAGCATGGTTGTCAAGCTCTTCATATCTGGAATGGGAATGTGGGTCTTTTTGTTCTCCAGTGTCCTCCACACATCGGATGTGGATGGATGTGGTGTTTCTTCAGCTGCCTGCGCAAAGAGAGACAGGGAAGGGAGACCCTTGGTTGGAAGACGGTGCGAACCATCAGAATTAGCTGGTGCTGGCAGTGACGTTCCTCCTCCAACAGTCCAACAGTCTCTTCATGGTCTGTTCATGTCGACATCCTGCCATCCACCAAGATACATCATGGCATGGACGTGGAAAACCCACCTGTTTGCAGAGGACACTTGCTCATTGAAGGCCCAAGGCTTGGGCCCTTGGCCACTTCCGTGACCATTCCATTTCCGGATTTGGCGCCTCCGCAGAAGGACCTCGGACACCGTGTCCCGCCCGCCACCCCCCCACCACGAACGGTCGAAAGTTCGGGGCCCAAGCGGTCCGGCTTTTCCGAGAGACGGTCGGGGGACCCGACCGTCCGCATCCTCGGCGAGGCGACGATCAAAGCTTGAGGTGCAGCATCAACAGCCCCGTGGGAGTCAACGTCTTGAAGAACTTCTGGACCGGTCCGGTCCGTGCCGCGGTCCGGACGTCGGAACGCGAGTCGGATGGCGCTGGGTGGTTCGCTCCGACTCGCCGAGTCGGAGACAAGTCGGAAACCCAAAACGACCAACGGATAGACGAATACCCTAGGATTCAAACAACCATTGTTTTAATGGTCTTTACCAAAGAACCATTGTTTTACTAAGGATTTTTACACTACACCACCAGCTCAACCGTTCTTTTAATGGTCTTTGAAGGCTAGGGAATAGGTGGGTCTGTCCGTTCTTACCTGTAACAGTCAGTAGACAAGCAATTCACCATTTTCGAACAAGGCCTTTGCCAACCAGGAAAAAATCCACTGCTACATACTGCTACTGGTAATAGGATAGAACCAAGATAAACTCATGGTTCGATTCTGGGGCCATGTGAAGCGCCTGTCAGGGAGCTAGACAAGACCTTTTTGGCAGCTGATCCATGTTTTGCAGCTGTTCACAACATCCCCAAACACATGGAAGTGGACAAACATGCACCCAGTGGAAGTTGGAACATAATCAACGGTGTCATTTCTTGACATCTGTTTCAGTCTTTCTTCAATGTTTGCTTGGTTGCAACGCCTGTTGGTATGGCCGAGGTTTTTTTGCGGTTGGTCTCACTCACGAGGTTTTGCGTGCTCAAACATCGTCCCGATGTATGTGCTGCATTGCCATGGAGTCAAGGATTGTCCGGAGTCCAGGGTGAAACCTTGTTTTGAGGGTGTGGAAAGCATTAAACCAATCTGCCAAACCAGATGCCTATTGTCCGAGAGGGTGAACCCCCGCGCCGCGCGCGGACCGGTGGGTGAGCTCGCTCACCGCCAACCGGACCGGTGTTTTCTCCGCGGAGCGGGGACCGGTGCGTCGACCGCAGGAAGCCCATCATCACTCGAAAGTGCATGATGGGCCACAACGGTGGACCCTTCTGGGCAGGCGTCTCCCCTCCGAGCCACTGGGCCGGTGGATCGGTGGGGGATCGGTGGGCGACGTGGGACGCGAAACGCGCCGGACAGGTTCCGGTGAAACGTCTCTCGTCCCGTTCCCGGTGCGTGCCGTTCCCGCCGCGTGCCGGCTGGCCGTTTGTGCTGGTGCCGGCTGGCCGTGCATCGAACTGAGGCGAGGCACTGAAGGACTTACTGCAGATGAAGTCCCTCAACGTGGTCCATCCACCGAACATGACCAGCCGCCCGCCATCGGATGGGGTGACGCCGGAAAGCCGAGCGACCGAGGAAAGCCGGCGCTTTGGTTGGACTGGGAGGAAGGAGGGCGGTTTGGCTCGTGGGTTGGCTCCGTGCGGAAGTAGCGTAGTGGGCCTTCGGCGCAGCTTGCGAGTCGGTTGTATTGTCCATGGCGTGAGTCAGATTTCTGTTTGGAGCAGAAGGTTTGCATGTGTGCAAAGTCAAACACTCCCCAAAGACTGTTCATGATGATTCAGCACCACCCAAAAAATAAGCTGTTGTTGGAAGGAACATACCATAGCCGCTGTGCTGTGTTGCTTTAGGAGGGCATCGCAGCACAAGTTGCATGAGATCTTGAAAGAAGACATTCACCAGGACCTTCCAACAGGTGGTTTTTGGACACCCCTTAACCTCTTAAGAGGCTGTGAATAGACACCTCAAACGGAAGGTGCTGGCAGAATATTAACCCGAGCCAAGAACACTCATTAATGGTCTTGTATGACCTAAGACAGGAGAAACGACTGCTGCAAGCCTGCGTGTGGCACCTCCAGCCAGTCGTTTCAGCTTCTGCCAGCTTTCAAGGCTCCTTGGGGCCACCGAGGTTTCTTCAAGTTAGCGGTGAGTCATCACCGTCGTTCTCATGGATCGGACACCACCGATGTCTCCCCATTTGAACGGCTCGGCACTTCGAGAAGTGCTGAAAAAGCCTTGTTGATTCTGGAAAGCTTTGCGAAGGTGATTTTCACCTATCGTGCTCACAATGCTTATATACCCTGCAAAGAAAAGTTTGAAACAGAAGACCCCATCCAGAAGAGGGACCTCTTCAGGATTTGTGCTCGTTTTCCATCGCAAGACCTATATAAGTGACCTTAGCCATTGGGATCTCAAGTTCCGCCACTAAGAAGGTTCTGGCATGGTCTACGTCTACATCCGCCTACATACGTCTCATACATACATCTACATACGTCCACGTCGGACTCCTCATGTGTTTCTGCTTGTTCAACGATACCGTGCTGCAGGTGCCATCTGCGGTCCGGTTTTGGTTCCCTTTCGCAAGCAAAACACGACCCGCGATGTTTTCCGAGTCATCCCTACGCGGCGGAGCGAATCGAGGCTTCTCCAACTACATTTACACGGACCCCAATCGGCCACAGGCGGGTGGTTGTTTTTGGGCGATGACGGATAGGCAGAGATGACGGATAGGCAGACGGTTGCAGCAAGCAGATTCCCATGGGAAGCCAGCGCTTGAAGGCGGGAAAGGACAAACCCTACGGAGATGCGTTCAGGAACCATCCAGAAACAGTTCAGGTCCCAGGTGGTTGGGCTAAAAGAAAACTATCTGAACATCACAATCCCTTTAAAAGGACTAAGTTCATTTCATTGGGGGATCTCCCTTTCGACACACCCAGTTGTTGGTCTTTCTGCATTTCGGACTCACAAGCTGCTGCAAGCGGTGCATGGGGGTTACAAAAGAGATCTCAACTGGTCAAAGTGAGGGTCGATCCTGCTGTGCTTGGCTGGAGGATCTATAGGTACGAACTCAGATCGACATGACCTCCCTTTGGATCATTCTTTGCTCCCAAAGCTCGGAGCTTCGTTCACTCCAGTTCGGCTCGCAGCTCCACGTCGCCCCGTGTTTGCAGGGGCACATCGACGCCTACGTCTGGTCTTCCGGCTTCGATGAGCGCGTGCCGCTTGGCGGAGGAGGCGGTGGGTTCGAACCGCGGCTCGCTGGAGGACCTGTTGATGTGAACCGTTGGGCCTTTTTAGTGATCAGGGCCACCAGGCGGTCTAAATGGTCACTGGGAAGCACCAGGAGGATCTTTTGGGGGAGTCCAAGCGGATCAATTTGTTGAAAGAACTGGGAGGTGACTCCACGAGAGGCTTTTGGATGACCCCCAAAAAGATTGGACCCACCCCCGGAATTTCGGGAGAGTCCAGAGGCTTCTTCAAGCTCTGTTGGTCATAGTTTGACCGAACAAATCGGTGCTTGAAGACCCGCGGTTCACCGCAGTCATCCGCTTCGTCGCTTGCTCACAAGCTGTCGTCCAAGAGGGTTCCGGGAGCCGGTTTGCAGCTGTAGCACGTCACGTCGATGTTTGACTCGGATGGGGTGCCCGAGTCGAAAGAAGGCCCAAACTTGGAACTTCCGTGACTTGACTCACGAACTACTCATGAACTACTCCTGGTAAGTCGTAATCCGCCACCAGTTTGGGGTAGTTCAGTCATTGTCCTCGACTTTCAGGGCTCTAGACCTTCCACATCATGGGGCCACTTCAAAAAGACTGAATCCTGAAAGCTGCTTGCTTTTTTGGCCGTAGCCGTAGATGTTTTGACGCACAGCCCTGGCTTGCAAGAGCAAGCCAGGGCTGGCCTCGACCAGAACGGCCTTTAACTTCGCGGAACACCGGTTCGGTGGCGTAGTCGTTGAACCAACATGGAACACACCAGCTGGTTTTGGCACTTCTTCGTAAAAGAAAGGCACATGGATGCACATGGTATGTCCAGAGATGCTTCACAGTACGGCCGGATCCCAGCCGTGAGACCGGAGCGGATTTTGGTCGCACACCTCAGATCGGGTTCGAGCACGAGTCTTTTTTTTTCAGACCGGTTTGGCATGTCAGAAGGTTCCCCGTGGGTGGCACAGACCTGGTTTGCTCCACCCCTAAGAATCAAGGACCCCCAAAGGTGAAGGTTTTGAGGGTCCAAACTAAACCCCTGCGTTCTGCAGGGTCCAAACCCTCCAGAAGTGGTCGGGTCCAATGATTCTTAGGGCAAGATCTTTACTTGCCCCTCCGGGCTCCTGGCCCACCTCCGTTTCCAGACGATGGTGATGGTGGGTGCCAGGAGCCACCGGTTCCCAGAATAAATGTGGGCAAGGAGGTTTAGGGTTGGACGGTCTAGTAGTTCCCTGAAGACAAATAGAAGGCATAATCGTTTCATTGGAACTTGTTTCTTTTCGCGAGAGCGCCTGCGAAGGGTTCTTCGTAAAAAAAACAGTTGCAGAACTACACGTCATCTACATCTTCACATTTTCACCTCTGCGCAATCACATTCTCACCTATATCTCTGCTCATCTTCACATCTGCACATCTACATCTCTGCTCATCTTCACATCCTCACAT